TTACAGTAACGCAATATATCGGGATATATCGTATTGTGACCCCTCTGTCATGATATGTATCGTATCGCCAAATTCTTGCCAATACACAGCCCTAGTTTATACCGTGACATGAAGTCATACCGCCCAGCCCTACCCCCTGGGTACCTGGACTCGTCATGCCAAGGCCCTGCCACTCAAGACTGCTCCTTCAAGTGAGGGGAGATACTCAGAAAGAAGCAGAAGAGTTAAAGAAATGAGAAATGTTGAGAAGAATGTTTTTAAATAACATAAAATTAAAGTAAGAAGGAGCGCAGGACGGATACTGACCTAAACCTCTGGATGCAACATCTGTAGCAATCAGAATTGGGGCCTCGCCAGTTTTGAACTCTAAGGGAGAATCAAATCAGGCACGATAATCAGAATTATACACACGAGATTAGATTACATTTCAGATTAGTCATGAATAAAAGCCTACTATTAAGAACGCGGTCTCGTTCGTTTTGTCTTTTATCACCGTGGAGTCCCAGAGCAATCCACCTAGAATAAATACTGAGGTTCAAGACCAATCTGTGTATCATAAAATCAATCAACTACAACTGTCAATACTTACCCTTCTTTCTTAATTCTACGGGTAAGATAATCACATTGCATCTTTGTCGCGACAAAGATGATGGTCTTGTTTTCCTCCTCACTCATGATGTCTTGTAGCAGATGGACGAGCCTACAGAAGAAGAAAGAAAATCATTAATTTAACTCTGACCATCACTAGAAGCCATCTTTTTGTTCCACTTCTTCTGTTTGATATGATGTAAATACTAACTTCTTCTCCTTATCTTCGTTACGGCAAACATCCACAATCTGGCGGATGTTATGGTTGGCACAGAGCTGAAGGGCACCAACGTTAATCTGCACATAGTCCTTCAGGAAGTCGTTTGCCAGCTGGCGAATCTCTTTAGGCCACGTGGCACTCCACATCAGAGTCTGTCTGTCAGGCTGCGAAAAAACAATCAGTTAGTCCATCTTTGACAAATTTACACCAGTTTTTTTTTCTTCAAGCTTTTGAGGAAAAAGAAAGATGCCTACCCTGATTTGGTCAACAATTTTCCTAATCTGTGGCTCAAAGCCCATGTCCAACATTCTGTCAGCCTCATCCAGCACCAGGTAGGTACACCTGCTGAGGTCCGTTTGTCCTTCCTCGAGGAAGTCGATAAGCCTGCCTGGAGTGGCAATGCAGATCTCCACACCTGCAAATAATCAGATACGTTACGATRGTGGCCATTTTGGTTTCCTTTAACATTTCTACACCTCAAATACTATCAGTACCGCTTTCCAGGTCACGAAGCTGAGGGTACTTTGGTGCTCCTCCATAGACAGAGGTTGATTTCAGGTTAGCAGCTCTGGTATAMTCTGCGGCCACCTGCTGCACCTGCCGGGCCAGCTCACGAGTTGGGGCCAGCACTAAACACTGTCGAAATGAAAATTACAGCTTTRTAAGAGCTACAAACTCATCTTTCTTCTGATTGGTCCTTAATCCCAGTATTCTAGATAACTACACAAAGATTACTTAATTCTGATCACAATGAAATCTAAAATTTAGAGACACCCCAGGTATGCACTGCGCAAATAATCCTCAGGACTACTTACAATGGGACCATCTCCATTTTTCAAGGGAGGCTGGTGGCTGATGTTGACAATTGCAGGCAGGAGATACTGGAAATGAACCACATTAATAAACAAAGTGTTATCTCACATAAAACGAAAAACTAAACAGCTGTTACAGAAAAAAATTAATAAATAAACTTACAGCAAGAGTCTTGCCAGAGCCAGTCTGAGCAATGCTGACCATGTCCTTGCCTCCAAGAGCCACCGGCCAACYCTGTGCCTGGATGGGTGTTGGTTCGGTCCAGTTCTGTTTGTTGATTACTTCCATTACACAAGCTAAAACAAATAGTTACAATTTAGATGTAAACAGTTCAATTTCATGGGGTAGTCTCTTTTTTTCATTCTGTAACTTACAGGGGAAGTTGACTTCATGAAACTTTGTAACGGGGTTCGGACAATCTCCTGTCACTGTAATTGCTCTGGTCGTCCTGTATTCTTCAACCTCTTCCTGCAAATTGAAGAATAAGAKTTTGTTCAACAGCCAGTGCTGGTTTCAGGACAGTTTTGATGTTTATGCTTGTTAAATCACGTCAACCACATACCGGTGACATGCAGGCGACGTTGGCATGCTGCTGGTAGAAGTTTTTCTCAAACTTTGGGAGCTCGTTCAGGTTCCAGTGTTTTTTCACCAGTCGTTCACCGGGAAAACTAAAATTTTTTCTACCACCTCTGGCTCCACTTTGACTGCCACCGAACCATGGAGGTCGACCGCCATGGCTAGTAAAARAAGAGGAAAAACAGTCAAACCAGTGTAAGGACAGTGAGCCCTGTCGCTGAGGCTTTATTCAATGTAGACGAACAGACGAAAAAAAAAGTATACCTTTAACATCTGTTTAGCTAATTTTAGCTTTAAGGGCTCGACACACAGGAGGCGACGTCGCTCGCTCTCCATTMATTTCCTATGGAGCCTGTGCGGTGAGGCGACGATCGCTTGCCGCCCTCCAGCTAAGCGACCGGTGAAAATAGTGCATGTGAAATTTCGCACTCGTACACGTAGACGTGCACACGCGAGCTTGTGACGCGACATATGAAAGTTGAAAAATCAACTTTTGTCRCTGTCGCTTAGCATTCAACCAATCAGCGAGGGTTTCATTGGCTGACCAATGAGAGGAGAGTATGCTACACACTGCAGTTAGCTAACACTTTCACCAAGTGATTACTAAAAAGCTTTGTGGGAATTTATTGGCACCAGGGTGAAGTTTATGGTAAGTTTTTCCTCATAAAACTGTATCTTGATGTGTGTTTGTTTTTCAGTCTAATTAGCATCGCAAGATTTGTTTAGTTTACACGTCCGTAATGCACACCCGCCTTCAGAGTGAAGAACCAATCAAATTTTGTGAAGACAAGTGATCTGAGAGCGCGATTCACAACGCTGCGATCGCTATCACGTCCCGTGTGTCGGGTTTCACCCTGGCTGCGATGACAGCCATTAATCGCTGTAGTTTCTCGCTCCCCGTGTGTCGAGACCTTTACAATATGTTTTGCTAGGTTTAGCCTAAGCATTTATTTGTTGATTGTAGTTACTGTTTTGCTATTTAAAGTAAGTCAGTAAAGTTTTATTTATAAAGCGCCTTTCACAGATATATATTCACAGGGTGCTGTACAATCATTAACAATGAAAAAGTGGTGGAAAGATAAAGTGAAACAGAATAAAACATAATTAAACATAAGCAATGTAGTGATACATCAAATCATGATTAAATTTAAAAATTGTAACTCAGACACACGGTCAATGCAGAGCAAAATATACAAAGAGACAAAACAGAGAATGGGGGGAGAGAAAAATCAGCTGTATGTTCAATAACAGGAAAAACACAGTTGGTGAGCATTCACTGTGTTGGTGCTGATTTTACTTATTTAACTGTGTGATTTTATTGTGTTTTTGTATTCAGCACTTTGTTTCAGCAGTGGCTGATGTTATGGCGCTTTATAAATAAAGTTTGATTGTTTGACAGGCTGGCAGTAATGGTGAATCTATGAGGAAGCCGGGTGGAGAGAACTTCCGGGTCATTTCCGCTGTCAATGAAGAAATTACAAAATCAA